TTCTAAGATACAATTCAGAGAGTCATTGAAAAATGACTAGAATGTTATGTGTTCAGTTTCTATCTAAGGAAAAGAAGGTTGAGGGGTACAGGAATTGGCTTTTTTGTTTTTGTTTCTTCAGCTTTCTAGGAAACCACACTGCTAGGGTATATCAGCTCTGACAGAAAAGAAAAAATGCTTGGCATAACCTTGATCACCACCACAACTAAGAGAAAAGCATTATGTCATTGACCATGCAAGAACGTTAAATCACAATTTTAGGATGTTTCGCCCTGAACAGGGGTGCTGTGGGAAGAGTCGGGGACCACAGAGATGGCCTCAGCGCACACAGAAGTGGCTGTTAAATACAAAGTCCCCTGGCCTGTACAGAGAACTTCTCTTAACTCATGCTAAGCTGGGGATCTCCAATACAGGCGACTCTGAGCACCATCCTGGGCCCGCATGTGCGGAGCTGGAAGTCACAGGAGTTGCTAAGCTGACCCTGGGGCAGTAGAGGCCCTCGGGGGATTCAGGTTTCCAGCTCCGTCCCCTCTCAAACCTCCCAAAGTCTTCCTTCACACACCCTTATGTTTCCAAAGAGACTCTCCAAACTGTACTTAGATGCAGGAGATTTTTCTAGGGGAGAAGAAAATCAATCTCATGAAATTCCTGGTACAGTAAGAAAGGCAGGCTTTTTTGGGTCAGGAAATGGGAGCTCCCAGCCTGCTCTGCCACCTAGGAGCCCTGGGCTTTGGCCAAGTCATTTAATCTCCCAGAGTCTCACATCTCAGTTTAAGATAAGCACTTGGAGAATGGGTGGTTACCATGTCACCACCATCATATGTCAGAGACGGCAGCCCGGGAAGCAGAAGGAACGTGGGCTGGTAAGCAACAGACCTTCTGCTTCCTGGGCTGCCATTAATAGATGGGGACACAAAGCCGCAGGAGAGGTTAAGGGGACTGTCCAGAGTCACAGAGTTGAGCGTGCACAGCTGTGTCACAGTCTCCTTAACCTCTCCTGAGGCTCCGTGTCCCCATCTATTAAATGGGGACAATAACATCTGCATTTGCGACCAGAGGTAATACACAAGCGGTGACAAGCCCTGTGCCGCGCACCTGCCAACGATGACCCCATAGATGACAGCTGCTTCCACTGACTGCACCGCCAGGGGCACTGTGGAATCAATGTGGCAATATTTTTTTTTCTAGCAGCTGTCAATACTTACTGGTTAATTATTTAACCAATTGCCACAGATTTAACCACAGTATTAAAGGCTGTGGCCATCTCTTGATATTCAGTATGCTATAAAGAAGAAACGATCAGTTCAAGCTCAGAGACTGTTCCCCCAGATCACCCAGGGGCCCAGTGTGCGGCAGAAAGCGGCTGAGATGGGCCCCTCTGTTTGGGCAGAAACTCCACAAGTTACTTCCAGGTATCAGAGACCTCCGAGCCACACGCTCAACAGAAGCTTCAGCCCTAAAAACTTAATGACTGAGCACCGGGCTTCGCACGTAAAAAATCTTTCTAAATAACCTGTTGGGGGCCAAGTCAGCTCCCAGCAATCTCCAAAATACCAAAAAGCCAGGATATGACAAAAGTGAGGAGTAAATTCTAGATGACTTTTCCAAGTGTACACAGTCTAGGAAAAATTGTTCTGAAATAAATTGAGGCTAATACGAAGATAAGTAGTAAACTTGAGTAGTTAAAGAAATCTTACTGGATGGCGTTTTGATGGATGTAAGAGTGACAGGCTCCACGTTTCATCTTCTCATGCTCACTGCTCAGTTAAACACAGCCGCTGCTGCTTCTATCACAGAATGGAAAACGATGTGTGTAGGCTCCCTGTGGACATTCACACGCTGGACATGCATATCACCACCTGACTCGGTTTGTGAAATCCAGTCCTGTTTACTTTACTCAAACTTGAGTTGTGTCACCTAAGCCACTGTCCTTCCTACCCCACTACACCATCCTTCTGTCCATTAGGACATGTCTGTCGTGAAAAAGCCTCCAAAAGCTTTTCAAAAGTCAAACGAACGCGCAGCATAGCAGACAAGGCCCTTCGCATCCTCCGTCCCTACAGTCAATTACGGTCACTTTCCAAGTACACATGGAAAGAATTAAGTGCAGATGACACATTTGCCAAAATGACAACTGTGGTGGTCTTCAGGCTCTTCCTATGGTCTCCACTCCCCAAAGAAGGCAGGGTCAGAGCCGGAGGGTCCCAAGACTTTGTTCCTTAACTTCACTGGGGAGACCAGAAAACAGGGTAGGGAAATGCACCACGTGGAAATGGGCTGAGACGTTACTCAGGCCCTCAGACACCGCCATCCTCCTCAAGCTGCTCTCAGCCCAGCCCCAGGCATGCAAACCTTGAGTGCCCAATAACTGGGAAATGCATCCAAGGCTGGCATCCTGCTTACTGTTCTACCAGGCCAGCATTTCATTTCTTTCTGACATGCCAAAGGGTATGGCTGACTGAGCTGTTGCTTTCCCTGTTGGCACTTCAAAGACCACCGGCCAAATGGCAAATGCCTGGTCCCCAACCCAGTATTGTCTAAATGACCTACAGTCTCCGGGAACCATGGCCCAGCTGGTCTAATCAGCCTGCCCCGTTCCAAGGAAACACATTATATCTCTGTACGCATGTCTCCTCATTCTTTAAAACTTGTTCCCAACATAGCATCCCCTGGCTTTTCCATACTCTCCCCAAAAGGGTCAGTTGGTCCCTGCCTCAGGTACCAGGGACTGACTGTAAGAACCTCCACTTCAGCAGTTAGCACAGTCCCAAACTGTCAGGGTCCCATCCCAAAAGGGCATGGGAAAAGGTGGCTGGGACTATATTTTATCTACTTTTTTTTTTTAACTGCTAAAACAGTCACTGCAAGAAAAACAGCCCAGAATACAGGTGGGGTGTTCACAATAGATGTTGATTACATGAATGGCTACATCTCATGATTTTCCAAATTAACATTTTTCTAAACCACAAAAGTCAATTTTAATAGGTGAACCAAGGTTTTGTGTGGACCTTATAACTTATGAAATAAAAGTCATCCTTTAAAATTACATGGGTAGATATTTTTGCAAGCCAGCCGGCTCTCATGGTCTCCATTTACTGTCTCGTCTGCGTGGCACTCGTGTGTTGGGAGCTCCTGCAGACCGAACTGCTGGGTGAGCATGCCATACTCCCCTGCCTCACCAGCTTCTGAACTAGCACCAACAACCACCTCAGGTCTGCTCATGTCACTCATGATCAAGACCTTTCTAAAGAAGTAGTGTCCGATTCTGATGCTAATAAATTATTAATGAGTTCTGATGATCCGATCAGAAGATTTGTTATTTCCAGCTTATACTCCATTCCCTTGAAATCTGACAAGTGGATTGATACATGACTGCATTTGCAAATGACTGTTTTAAAAAAGTCCAATTCAAGGACTTTTTTTGGTTGTTTTTTAAAGAAAACGGAGTTACCATGGGTTTGAGAAGTTTTCTGATGCAAGATAAAATCTCCTAGGTTTGGAACGGGAACACCCCTAGGGTGTTTGTCTTGCATAAGGTCTGGAAGAGAGACCTGGGAATGCCCCATGAATGCATGAGGGGATCCAAAGCTAAAAGACCCAACAATGGCTGGGGTGAAGTCAGGTATGCAGTGTGAGTGCCGACCAGGAGCTAGCTCTGGAAATCACAACACACAACACCCTAAATCAACCAAACAATGTGGCATTTTCTCCAAAAGACAACATAAAGCATAACAAGACAAGAACACTAAGACACTTAATCCTATCCTTCTTGCATATTCATCTTATGCTGTTCTAAATACCAAACATCAAAGGGGCATAACTGAAATCAAAAAGGTTCCAAGAGATTTTTCTTTTAAGGTGGTGGAAGAGAAAGAACATATTCACAAGATGTGTTTGTAGTAGTAGCAGACCAAGTAAGAGGAAATTCTAACTTTCTAGATAATTTTCAGAAACCACCACACCAAGAGATTCCGTAGTCCAATATGATAGTTTCAAGATTACTTTAAAACAATCTGCAAATAATAGAAGCAAATTGAAGTTTTTAAGGAAAGCTAGTGTTGTTCTTACAGTTCATTCTGAGACAAAGCACTGGAGGTGAAAATTTATCTTCTCATAAAGCACTGCTTCCTGCCCAGCCAGAAACAGAACCCTGGATTAACTGGACCACCAAACACAGCAATTCATATTTTAAGTTAAATGTCTCAAGCTGTTAGGGCTAAGAAATATTTTTGTTACACGGTGACATGTTTTTGTCTGGTGCCTGTGGTGATAGCACGCCTGGGTCCCAGAATCCACATGCTGCGTCACAGCTATGGTTTAATTGTAACATACACAAGAAGGTTTTTCATATGAACAGGTAAAACCTTCCCGAGAATCCTTCACCTGTCTGCATCTCATTTGATGTAAGCTTTTTTTTTTTTTCCCCCCGCGATCGAGTCTTGCCGTGTCGCCCAGGCTGGAGTGCGGTGGTGCGATCTTGGCTGACTGCAACCTCCGCCTCCCAGGTTCAAGTAATTCTCCTGCTTCAGCCTCCCGAATAGCTGAGACTACACGTGTATGCCACCATGCCCAGTTATCCTTTGACGCAGATTTATCTTCTCAGCATCAAAGCTGGAATCCAACCTTTCCTAGACTGAAAGCACCAGAAAAGTGGTTATTTATACTTACACTCCCTGTTCCATACAGAATACAGGGGACCAGGATTGGTTATCGATTCAAGAGTCAGTACGTATCTGAGTGTGGAGGTACCTGTACCATCTTATAGGTTGGAGGTGTCTACCATCCCGCTTCCAGGCTACATACTCAGAACCATCACACACTAAAGTAGGAACAGAGATAATCTAATTTTTGAACCAGGTCCCTCACTGAAAGCCTAAATTTAATATGATTCAACAAATCGAGGCTACACTGACTGATATTTTACTAAACTTACTGTCCAAATTGAGCATTTGAGGCAAAAAGCTGCAACTTCTGTTTTAAGCAGAAAGCTGCAGACTCACCTTTGGCACACAGTTGAGAGGTGACTGGCAAAACGCAGAACTCTTCAAAATGATGACTTTTCAGCTAATTACACCTCTGAAGTTACAAAGCTGCAGGGATTCTCCAAATTCTCAAATCTCAGCAGAGAATTATAATTTGGGACGTCGCTTGTATACAAGGAACACATGAAATCTAAAAAGAAAGAAGCGTATATTAGATCTGCTTACTTCTTTGATTTTAAGCAACCAGTTTTAAAAATAACTGGTTATTCATTTGCCTAAAACCAATGTTTTTTTGTTTTGTTTTTTTTTTGAGACAGGGTCTCCTCTGTCACCCAGGCTGGAGTGCGGTGGTATGATCTTGCCTCAATGCAACTTCCGCCTCCTGGGCTCAAGTGATCCTCCTGCCTTAGCCTCCCCATTAGCTGGGACTACATACATGTGCCACTACCCTTGGCTAATTTTATGTATTTTGAAACCAATGCTTTAAATATATCCCAGAATAAAGCTGCTCTGTGCCTAAAGACCTCCATCAACACATACTCCTCCCCCTCCCCACCTTTCATTCCCTGGGCAAGCTCCCACACTCGGCTGGGGAAGGCCAACCACACACCCAGTGAACAGCAGGTGGAAGGAGGTCATGGGGTGTGGGGGACAGCCAGCCCATAATCAAGTGACCTGAGCTCCCAGTCCCTTCCAGACTTCCTCCTCCCAGTGACCCCCACCTTTAAAAACCTCCCAGAAATAAAAGGGTGGCTGCCAATTGGAAAGGTGGCCAGTCTGGGAGTCTAATGAGGGAGAAGGGTTACAAAGGGCATGGATATTATTTAGAGACTCGTTCCTCTCTTGGAGGTCTGTTGCACCAGCCATTTATTAAGAGGTCACCAACTGGACCCATAGCCTTAGGCTAAAAAGCACCCCTGCTTTCAAGACTTCTGAGACGAACACTCCAAAATGAGAAGGAAGTTAAGATGAGAGGCGCCTGACAAAGGTGACCAGCTCTCTCCTAGTTGTGGAGAGCTGGATCCTGCATTATGTTCACTGCACTTGGTAAATATGTTCAGTCTTTGACTAACGTTTTCGAGGGGACCCTGGAGCACTCTGTGGACTTCAAGTGAATTCACTGACATTTTTAATTACATTTCAAACCCAGTGGGGATCTGTCTTGACAGTTCACTCAGAGAAGATCTATTAATTCATCCTTAGCATGATTATGACCCAAAATGTTAATACCCCATAGAAAAATCGAATTCTATTTTAGTCAAAGAGAAGAAGATAATTCAAATAGGGCTATCATAAAAATGTTATAAGGCAAGTTCATAAATTTTGATTTAAAAATTAATTCCTTTTTATCCATTCTCTAGCATTATTTTAAAGGCCGCATCATTTTAATATAGATATAATTTAAGGCAAGGAACAGGTGATGGCCAAACACAATGAGAATACATCTTCGGGCAAGATGTCAGATGTATACTAGGCAGATTGCCCTTCTTCCTGTTAGGTGTTTATCATAAAATGACAGGTCCTCTCAAAATGGAAGTAGTGGAATCTGAACTCAGTTCTTGACCAAGAGTTCTTGTTTCTCATGCTGACACCACTGAAGAAAGCCATCAGCACAGGGCAATGTGCTGGGGACCATGCCCCTAACACCGCCTCTGTATGTGTCATTTTCAGGGGCTCTTATAAACGCAAGTTGTATTGCTAAGATTTTAACTGGAAAGTGAATTTGCCCAGAGTCCACGCCTTCCACAGGCAAATGGCAAGGAATTGTTTATGCGGTTGTTTGGGTTGTCCAAACACAGGCCTCCCACTGTGTGCCCTGTGTCTCATGAGTAATATGATTTAATCCTTCTGATACACTTCCAGGATGGATTCTAATGCCCATATTTACAGAGGAGTTCACTTTCTCAGGGACACTAAAGGTTTTTCCCAACTGACTGCAGAGTGAGGAATCACTCAGGCCTTGGACTCCGGATGAGTGGGCTTTGCACATCTCTAATCTCTTCTGCATGCGAACAGAGGAGACACTCCTTATGCCAACAGCAAAGCAAAAGCCCGAGCAGCTTCTCTGCCAGCCCCCGCAAAAGAACAATGAGCTGGATTTAGAACCTGAGTCCTCTGATACTAGGCACAGTGGACAAGTCAGAGCACGGCCTCTCCAAGCACAATCAGTAAAGGAAAAGCCAGAGAGGATGGAGCAGGGCTTGGACTGATGCAACAGCTCCAACAAAAGTGAGGCTATTGAAAATCCACTGAAAGGTACCAGTGGCCACTGGGATTCACGTGTAAAAAGTGAAGGTTGCATGAGATGTTTTCCTTGAGAAAAGCATTCCATTGACAAACTGTCCATGTGTTCAATGTACACCCTAAGTAGAAAAAAAACCACGATGATCGACATCTCTCTCTTTGGGTTTAAATGAAGACTGCCCAAGTTTAACATGGGGTTCTGAGCTTACTCAAAACCTGTGTTAAGGAAGAGCATTTCAAAGCAGGTCTTAATTATAATCGGTTATCGAAATCCATCAGCAAAGTGTACACTTTTGTGCAAAAAACAGTACCAGCCTGCAAGATAAACACATATAAGGTCACTTAGACTGTAGAAGGCCCTCACCAAAGGATTCATTCAAGGATTTTCTGCAGCCAGCTTCAAGAAGACAGGAATATACAGAACGGGTGTGGGCTTTTCTCTAAAAGTACTTCACTAGCACTACGTGCATCTCCCTTTAGAAATAAAAAAAGGAGGGAGGGCTAGAAGGCAATTAACACTGATACCGTACATATCTCTTCATTTTAATTTGGATCCTTAATACTACAAAATTTTACCATTGCAAAATCCAAGGGATTATCTGAATTCTCCGTAACCTTGAAATTTGCATTTTTCCCACTAAAGCCACAACCCAGGGTTTTCCAGTGTTTTCAGCAGCACTTAGCTGCGTGTTGGGCGAGTGTGCTGAGCACTGCCAAGCCACACTACTTGTCCCAGGTGCAGGGCCAGGCAGCGAGATGCCCCCTGCAGGCAGTCCTGGCCGATTCTGCATTCCCAATACCAGCGTGGTGCTGGCGCAGTGTCTTCTGGGGCACCTGGGCTGGTTTCCTCCAACTCTCAGCATCTGAGACGGAAGTCCAGTGATGAGTCCCTGACTAAGGCAACTCCAGAGGAGCAGTTCAGGGTTAAGAAGAGAGTTATGAGCCTTGTTCTGATGACAGCCCAAGGCTGTGAGCTTTGTGGGCATAATACTGCCAGGTGCTGTCACTCAACTTGTTTCTAAGGTGGCCTATTTGTCCAGAAAACTGAAGTCACCAAGAGGCTAAAGTCAGCCTTTAGGAGGCTCAGGGAATCCCTGCTCTCCCACTCTCCAACTGATAAAACAGTGACAGGCTGGGAGAAGAACATGCTCTGATCCCAGTGAGACACTCGCTGTGGCTTCACCTTAGTGTCAGCCGCAAGAATCGTGACAGCAACCCTGGGAGATACATCTTATCATTCAGCCGAGGAACCAAATGACCAGATGTCCCACAACCAGACTTTGAATGCACACTTGCCTGATTTTAAAGCCAGCGTGCTCTTTCTCCTGACAAAGATCACCACGAAAGGGCTAGAACCTTGACAGTCGCATTTTGCAAATCGCATCTGCCGCTGCCATCTGTCTGGGCTATCTGCCACCCTGGGTGGCCAGCTCCAACCTCTCAAATCGGCTAGGAACCATGTCAGGCTGTGTCAAGAAGCAAGACCATGAATGTACACACACCAAGTTTGTTTTCAACGGTACTGCTTCTCTTAGATGTTAGCTCGGGGTGGTGGGGAGTGGGGAAGCCTGGTTGAATAGTGTCACCTGGCTGGGTCAGTAATGAGCAGATCTTGGACTCGCGTATGTATCATAACCAAATCTAATCTGTGTTACACATGGAGAGAACCACTCCAGATCCCTAGTCTGTAGCCAGAGCTAAGGCAACTGTCCTTTACCTTTTATTAAAAAAAAAAAAAAAAAAAAAAAAAAGCATAGGATTAGCATAGGCCTCGGAGCTCTCAAATGCCTTGTCTTGCCCTTCCTCCTCCCTCCCTGACCAGGGAGGCCCAGCAGAGGCCTGCAAACGGATCTCCAGTTCAGAGTACGGAGGCGGCAGTGCCAGCCCGACACAGCACGGGGTCAGCGCTGTCTGGGGCAATTCTGGCAGAGCTAGCTATATTTCATTCCTAGTGAACCACTTGGAAGAGAACCTTATTCAAGTGGGAAAAGGCTGGTTTCAGATACTGAACAAAGCTACACAAGTTTCCTTGAGTGGTTTGGCTACAGTTCAACCCATGTGGACTGATACTGAGCAGCTCAGATGTGTTTATCAATCCGAAACTCAAAGGCGTCCAAGGAGATGACCTCAGCTGTCTCTTAATCATCCAGTGCACAGTGGTTCGCAGGCAGGGTTCAGGAACGGCTGAAGCCTAGCTTCAAAAAGCCTCACTACAATTAGAGTTTTCACTCAAGATAAAGCTGTCCTGAAAAGTAAAAATATCAAGTGTTTCTGCACTGGGCTGAAATTATATCAATTCCATATATAAATGCTGGTTAGGAGGTTAATTAGAAGCTGGTAAATGAAAACACGAGGGGAAAAAAAAAAACAGAACTAATTTCTAATTCTCTAGAAAGTCAGAGTGGCCAAGGCGGGTGTTTGCAGGACAAAGGTGACTGATCAGAGTTTAGGGTCTGTCAGTTCTAGGTTCTGGAATAATGATTTCTGCCTTCAGATACTCCAGAGCTGAAAAAAGAAGGAAATAGCAAGCAGTAGCTCAAACGACGTGCCAAACCCCTATTAACTTTAATACGGGTTCAAGAGACTGAAGAGATCCAGCGCCAGCCAGGGTTTTATTAGGGACTTACAGAGAAGGGAGAGAGTCTGGTGGCAGCGGGCTGGACAGGAGACCCGCACCTGCCTGCAAGCATCATGCAATTCATGTAGCATTTTCACTTAACACCCTCCCTGACCAAGGACCTCCACCTGGCATGCTTCATGCAACCCAAAACTCAGGGCCTCAATCACACCTGTTCCATGAGACAAGCTGCAGGACTCAGATGTTCCTTAAAGACAAGGACTGAATCTCCAGGCTGGCAACTTCTGGATTCCCTAAACACACATTCAGGTGCATCTGCCACACGAGGTCATTCTAAGGGTCTGCTTAAGTTATTGCTGTCAGATGTG